CCTCACCCTGCTGCTCACGCTGCTGGGGATGCCCCCAGGACACGGGGGGATTCTGGGCTGCCAGCGCACACTGCCGGCTCATGTTCAGCTTCTCATCACCCTGCACCCCCCAGTCCTTCTCCTCAGGGAAGACAAATCAGCTTTGACACAGCAAAACTGGGTGTCTGAGCATGGGGAACAAGCCAATCATCGCACAAAGCAAAAAAGAGCAAAGAAAGCCCCTTCCAAAAGTGCTCCAGACACCCAGCAAGAGATGTCCCCTGCAGATGGCCTTCCAGACTGACTTACCCATGCAGGGCGCGGATGACAGTTTTCTCCAGGGCATCATTGGTATACCTGCTGTCCAAATTGAAGAGATACTCTCCCTCCCAATGGCACGTCACCTTCAAGGACTCGCTGCAGATATTCACCGTGTGGGACTTGGCGAAGTTCTCCTTCAGCCTAGGGGGGAGCTGGCTGCTCCTGCGCCTTGTCGACATGGCCTCGAAGGGCCGCTGGTGGTGGGTGCTGTTCTGCTGGTGGCGGAAAGGCAAAACTTTCCCAACCAGGGGTCCCAAAAAAAATTCCCATTTCTGGAGGGTGCTGCTCGAGGGTAAGGTGCACCTCTGGGATACATGTGTTTCTTTGAGTGCTCAGGCATCAGTGAGGCGTACGAGTGCTCGATGGAGATGAAGGAATGCTTGTTCACATCAGCAGCTTCTTGAGTCTCTCTTGGAGGCAACGCGTGGGGTTTTGCAGGGCTGGGGCTCATGCTGTTCTTGCTGAAAATCCCAGGTTTATTCTCAGAGTCATTTAAGTCTATTTTTTCATCAGGAGGAAGCTTGTGGTTCGGCGACGCTTTGCTAGGAGAGGCGGCTCCCTTTGCAAACTTGTCTACCCTGTGGTACTCATGGTCGGAAGCAACACGCAAGGATTTCTGCTTGGGATGACTCTGCTGCTCCTTTTTAGAATCGCCGGAGGGGCTGCAGGACACAGGGATTGTCCCGCTGTCCCTGGGGATACACGAAGGAATACAAGAACCCAGCGCCAGATCAGCCAGCAAGTTCAAGGCGTGGGACTCGTAGTCGTTTGCTTTCAGATCGAAACCGAGATCAGCAACGCCGCCTGGGGAACTCTCACTCGTCTGGCTATCCGCTCCGTGGTGTTGGGAGGAAACTTCGCTCAGGAGGACAGAGAATGTCTCCTTCCGCTCTGCGTGAGAAAAATGAAGTCAGAGAATAAATGACGGTTCAAAGCAGGCTTTCAGTTTGGCAGGAACTGAATTTGCACACTTAAAAAAAAAAAAAAATAAACCACCTCCATGACCATGCTACAGAACCACCTCCATGGCTGCTCCAAAAGGATCCAGAGTTAGGATCTAAGCAACTTCAGGGAAAGGGTTTATTCTCAGAAATAAAAGGTACTGCATCCAGAGCGAACAAAATTTCCCTTGCCCTCTGGGCACAGGGTAGTTTGGCCACTTAAATACAACTTGCGACATTTTAAGTGTTTCCTTAATTCTTTTTCTTTTTCTTTAAATTTTCTTCTAGTTTGAGTATTTATAAACCCTGTGCTACGCTTTCAATAACCCACAGTTCAAAAAAAAAAACCTTTTAAAACTCAGAGAAAAACCACTCTGCTCTCATGCTTCCCACTGCAAACCTTCCCTAGAGCATAACCTGCCCCTGAGTCGGAGTTCAGAGCACACACAGAAACCTGGGGGCTCCCAAAGGCAGTCAGAGCACGGCAAATTAGGTGTTCATTTAGTTTTCGGCATTAAAAACGCCCCTCACCATGGCTCAAGGCCCACGTTCGTAAAACCAGTATGAAGTCACCAAACAAGGTTAATACCTTCTACTAAAAACCAGCACAAAAATCTCCCTTCAAGTAAAAACTCATTAAATTACATCTGTGCTGAAGTCCTATGTGTTACATTTCATTTCCTTGGGAACAGCATAGTAAAACATATAAATTGAGTTTTTCTTACTCCTAAATGCTCTGATTTTGCATTTTTGGCAGATCCTGGCATTCAGCAGGGGCCACCTGACACCCCGCCTGTGTGAGTGGCCAGATCTGCTCTGGGAATCCCTACGTGAGAGGGGACACGAGGGACAGTGCTTGATACACACACGCTGATGGAAAGTGCCACGTTTCAGGAACACGTGGCAATAAAAGCCCAAGAAGAAAGGATAAAATGAGCTGAGGTGGCTAAACCGGTCTTCAAAGCCTCCACCTCCCCCAGGAAGGGGAAAAAGAAAGACCAGAGACAGATCTGAAAAAGGACATCAAAGCACAAGTGTGAGAAAACACGACAAATTAACACAAAACCACTCTCCTGTTCCTTCATTTATTTTGGCACCGAAATACTGATTCTCAGTTTACCAGCAGCCTCCTGGCCAGCACCTGCAGACGCTACGCTCCGGGGCTGTCCACGCTGCCTCTGAAATTCGCTGCAGTCTGTCTGCGAAGGCTGCGGCAATTCAACTCTTTTTAAGACTGGATTTACAACGTAACGGACTAAAAAAATCCAGGCAGACGCTGGCTCCGAGCAGAGGCTGTAATGCTCTGACCGTGAACCGCCTCAACACAGTTGCAGAGCTCAGCAGCTAAAAATCAGACTTTTTAAAACCATCTGGTCACAATCTGAGCGTGGTGTTTGATGGTTCGGCTTTTAAAGGAAAGATTTCCACAGGGAACAGCGCTCTTACCGCTTTCTGCTTGCTTTTTGGCTTGAGGTTTCGACGGGCTGTTCGCCACACTTTTTAACATCTTATTTTTCACTGGCTTCGTGACGGTCTCAGCAACCTTTTTCACGGCTGGCTTCTTCAGTGTCTTTGGTCTCTTTGTTTCCAAGCCAGGATCGTCGGGAGCTGAGGTTTCCTCCTGAACAGGTTCAGACTGTGTTTTGTGCACAAATTCTGCAGACAGGACCTCCGCACCTGGGAGAAGGCAAAGGGAGGGTATTTGTTTTGGATTGAGAGATATTCAGATTAAAAAAGGAGTAATGGCAAAATATCCAGTTCAGGAATGTGGAAGGACTGCTCTAGAAGCGATTGGCAGCAGCAGCATAGTCTTCAATGACTTGATTTATGCATTTGATCTTACAAACAGGTTTGTTATCGATGCGAGTGATCAGTAAAGTTATTAAAAATTAAGAATCACTTCTTAAGCTCATTAAAAGCCTGCTCTCCTGACCTAGAATAGGTGTTCCCTGGGGATAAGTCGCTCTAACGCCTGCCTGGCATGCTTGCACCCTGAGGGTACTTATTTCTCTCTCCAAGAATCACCCAAGAACCTCTCCCAGATCTGTCAGTGATGTCACCCAGGCCTGAAGCAACGTGCATCACAACAGAGCTCAACTGGTGACAGGACAAGAGGAAACAGCCTCAGGTTGCACCAGGGAAGGTTTAGGCTGGATATTAGAAAAAATTTCTTGACGGAAAAAGTGCTCAGGCATTGGAACAGGCTGCCCAGGGCAGTGGTGGAGTCACCATCCCTGGAGGGGGTCAAGAAAGGTGTAGATGTGGTGCTTGGGGACATGGGTTAGTGGGTTGGGTGGGGTTGGGTTGATGGTTGGACTGGATGATCCTTGAGGTCTTTTCCAACCTTCATGATTCTAAGATACCAACTTTCAGCAGAGTCAGTTGGGTGGGATCAACCTCAAACTTCCAGCTTCCTCCAGGCCACAGCAAGAAAGTTGACCCTCAGGGAGTCACAATGTGAGCGTGGGAGGGTGGCTGGTTGTCCACACAGCCTGTAATGACCATGGCTTTGGCAACTGCTCCTTGCCTGAGCCACTGATGGCCTGGGAACAAGGGATGGAATCACCACGACCTGGCTGATTTCTCTGCACGCAGTCGCCCGTAAGTGAAGGAAGGGAACAGCATGGACCACAGCACCGGGCTTCAGGCACTGAAATCTCCCGTCATATTCCTGGGCTCCTTCCCAGGTTGAATGAGAGGCTGTGGAGGCATCGCCGCAGACCTATTAGGATGCTCTCAGGTGTCTGCTTGCTCTGGATGGTGAGGGAACACGGCTCCTAGTGAACCCTGAGCTGGATATCCCGAACAAGCAGGAAGAAATCAGTCCCATTGATATAGCACTTACCTCTTTTCCTTCTGTGTGGAAACTGCAAATTGGCTAACTTCAGCATAGGCTCGTTGGAACTGGCCGTGAGCCCTGGTTTTTTAGGTAAAGGCAACGTGATGTTGATTTTCTTCTTCTCTGTTGCTTTCCTGTTCCTGCCGCTGTCCTCCACGGGATGCATTTGCATCTTGAGGGGTGACCATTTCTTCCTGGCGTTGACCACAATGGCTCGGCTGGATCTCCTCCTGCTCTGCTGCACCCATAGCTTGCTGTCTGAGTTGACGTCTTTTGGGGACCCTTCACCACTTTTGTCCAGCCCCACAGTGGGCTTTGGGTTTTTACTTTTGATTTTTATTTCCGTTGCTGTTTTGGGAGGAATAGGGTCCGGTGGCAACGCTGAAGAGAAATCCACTTTACGACTGGCCTCTGAATCACAGCAAAGAGACTGAGCAGCACCAGTCAAACATCCCAAAGCAGCTGACATTTCCAGAGTATAGCTGCTGGGATCGGAGAGATAATGCTGCAGCTGGGAGAAGGACTGCTCCGAGTGTTTTTTGAAGGGATTAGCACATTCGTCCTTGGTTGGGGAGAGGAGAGAAGAAAGAGGAACTTCGCTGTTTTGGCCAGAGGTGGGCTGTGTGTTTTCATGAAGCTTTGTGTATTCCTGGAAGTGCTGTTTGATCCGTACGCTGGCATTGACTGTGTCCCCCCGTGAAGAACTGGTGGCTTTCTGTAAGGCATAGCGAAGTCCAGGCAAAACTGAGGCTATTTTTAATGAGGTGTCACTATCTTCCCTTTCGTCTTTCGGATTGTGCTTTCCAGCTGCGAAAGGAAAAGAATAGAATTTTACTCATATTTAAAAAGGATTAAATTCTGCAAATCACCTGACTGTTACATGCGAAGAGAGCATGAAAGTAGTGAAAAAGCCCCAGAAGCGAGCCTACAAAGAGCTAGACCCAGGGGTGATGTCCTGATTTGGTGGATGCTTGTAAGTGCTGAAGGTAAAAAAGGATTGAACGTAGTCAAAAGTGGATTAAATTAAGATGAAAGACTGCTGTTGTACCAGCTAGCCCCATTCTGCAGGAAATTACAGGGTAAATCCCACACATCGTGGTCTAAGTCCCTTCACTCAAGCAATTCTCACTAAATCCAACATTTAGGACAGTCAGAGCTCTCAAAACACATGGGGTTCGTTGGGTTTTTTAAAACCTGTTTAAATTTAGGGTTGCCCATGCGGAGTGTTTAGACCAGCACCATTTTCAGATCACTTGTGCGATTTACGTCCCTGGTTCAGATGCAACTTCCAGCAGCTCCATCTCTATCTGCTGTCAGCGTGGGCGGACACGCTTCACACGAAGACACCACATTAGAGCTCTGGAGTGGGATGGGGAACACAGACTTCCCCAAGCAGATCTGGGGACTGTGTAAAATAAATAACATGAACCCCTGGGTGATTTTCTAAAGCTGGAGGATTAATCCTACCAAAAACAGTTGGTGAAAAAAACGCCTTACCATGCACAGCACACAGTATCACAAAAGTTTAGCTCCCAATAGAGATCAAAATGAGTCCCAAGGCTCGAGGGTGCTCTCCCTCACAGATGTCACCGTGGAAGTAGGCTCTGCTGGGCACAGCAGTGCCCCCTCAGTGTCCAAAAATGCCTGGAGAGCCAGTGTGATGGGCAGAGCCTGCCGATGGAGCTCCCTTTCCGCACAAGCCAGACTTATGTGGCTTCATCTGCTGCAACCTAGCAGTCTGATGTCGGCTTGACCCATCCGCGTGTTAAAATCCAACTCCAAGGTTTCGTTTGGCTGCGGGGTCAGGCTGACAATCCCAGCACCCTTCTCCATCACATTTCTTCCCAGCAAGGCAACGGCATTTCTCTTCCCCTCCCAGATGCATGATTTTCTTCGCCTTCCACTGGCAATGCTGATCTTTGTTACCGGCAAGCCCAGTTGTCTTCACGAGCCAGCTCCCAGCTGCCTGCCTCCGCTGCTGGCTCAGGAATGCTGCGGCACGTCCGCACAGCGGGGTTTGTTACGCCTGCCCTACATTCCTCCCGACGGCTGTCTGGACAGGAAGGGAAAAGATTCAGAGGCGGCTTGTTTCGAAACAGGAAACTTTATTCATGCTTCACGTCTGAGCTGAGTGGCTTCAAATGTGTCCGTCCTTCACCTTCCTTTTCTCTTTGCATCGCCCCTGCATCCCTGTTGTCTTCGGTGACTGTCCCTTTTCAACCCCAAGCCCTGCACAGTTCTGTTTATCTTCATAGAAAGGAGAAATCCTAAAAGAAAAAGGGTTAATAATCCCAGCGAAAAGAGGTCTTGGACCCAGGGGACAGGCAGGGGTGGCTGGGGGAACGCCTCTCACGTAGGCAGAACGGGACAGCACGTGCAGGAGTCCTGCTGGCACCAGAGGGACAACATCTGGAAGCCATCAACGTTCAGATCACGACACGTAACAACACTGAGTGTTCACTCAATGTTATCCTCTCCTCCTGCCTCTTCGCTTTGCCACCAGCTGCTCTCTGGCTGCCCAGGCTTCACCTCCTCTTTAGAATCAACACCAGCCAACGGGAAACATCTGCTACAGCCCCAAACCTTCCTACAAACTGTCTGTTTGTGCCATCTTCGCTCTGGGATTTTCCTTATGCCTGGTGCCCTCTCCTGTCTCCACCACCTTCTTCCACAATAACCCTCTTCAAGATAAACACCTCCTTGCCCTGTTCTACTCTCCCCCAGCATACAGTGCTCGCACTTTCAGCCTTTCAGGAATAGATCCTTCTGCTCTGGAGGGTATTTTTCTGTCTGTTATGGGGCTGGTCAGTAAGATTTCAATATCTGGGTGGTCACTTCCCACCTCCAGTCTGCTCTCCAGGCATTCTTCCCCTTCACCTCACCCAGCTTCAGGCCCTTGCTTCAGGCATCACAGCAACAACCTGATCCCAGGTTTGACCTTGCGCTTGGGATCTTCAGTTTGCCTCAGGAGCCTGTCTCTCTCCTACACCTAGAAAAGAAACTAGAAAAGTCGCCACGCTAACACAGCCACCAGCAGCATGTCCTTAAAGTCCGGTCGACTGAATTCAGGCATCAGAGATATTCGCACCCCGCACTGCCAAGTTACCATCATGTCTTCACCCGACTGAAAAGCACACTTTGGGTATGGATCCTGAAGGAGAAACTTTATAGCTGCTTTAAACAGCAAAAAAAGCCAAAGCAATCCATGCTCGGACGTGCTGCAGGCTCCTGTTGGCTCTTCTGCCGATATTATCCTCTGGGGAGGGGAGAAGGGTATATCCCGTGCAGCTCTGTCGGCAATGCCAGCCATCACTCACGCAGGGGCAGACTGAAATACCAGTGCGTGCTGGTGTAAACAGTCTCTTGGCTTGTCGCTGGGATGACTCAAGAAAAAACAAGCCACAAGTTACGCAGAGCAAAAGGCCCCTGTTTATATGGGATCTGCAAGGACTAGAAGTATTTCTGGTGGAGCGGATGCAGTGAGAGGCGTGAGGATGAAGCTGCCCAGGGGAGGCAGAGCAGTAACTTGCTTTATGTCCACAAGAGGAAATTATAGTGTGAATATTTCCACATAGACAGTGCAGCATAAAGCCAACAGATACGGAGAAAATTCGAAGCAAATGCAAGAGATTGAAGCTCATTCTTATTCCAAGATCTGCAGGTTCTAACTGTGCAATCTTTATTTTCTTTTATTTAATGCCTCTGTGCTTGTTCTGCATAAAAACCAGCAAGTTTTGGGGCTGCAAACAGCCTGGATTCACCTCCCAGGTCCTGGAGTTGTGACTGATCTTGATGGCAGCAAAGCACTGTGGCTCTGCCCAACACCATCTCCCCGCCTCCCTCCCCTCACTGCTCACACACCCTGACCATTTGTCACAGCTCTGCCACCAGAATTTACATATCCCATAGCACAGAAGTCACAACACACCGCTGAACCTCCAAATCTTTGCTGCTCTTTAGGGGGCTATGCCCCCTTCTCAGCTCTCCTCCCCTTGCCCACACCAGCAGTGACCATTCATGGAGCCCATTTTACTCGTCAATTCAGCAAAAAAACAACTTATTTTTTAGGGCAGGATGTTTTCCTGCTGGTTTAGCAAATCACATCAGCTGTGTCCAGGGTCCAGCGAGTGCCACGTGTTGTTTTGCCCCCTGAGCACAGCTCCAGTGCACCTTTAGGGATGTAAACAGGAATCAGACTCCCACGTTAAGACAGTTCAGGGAGTGGATGCTGCTGAAAATTGACTGAGAGGGACAAAAAATAATTATTTGTGACTCCCATCAACGTCCTGCAAAGGGGCAAGGATGTGCAGTGAATGGGCGAGGCAGAGAACCTGGTTTAGCTCAGCTTAAAATGCAGCGGAGCTAGAGAGTTGGGACGTCTCTCTCCTCTTTCAACACCCTTTGTGCTAAAGCTGTAGGTGGTTCTGAGCAGAGAAATCAGCTCTTCAAGAGGAACGTGTCTGTGAGGAGCCTCTGGTGAGGATCCCACACCCAAAACACAGTGTTTGAAGCCAGCAAAGGGAACCTCCCTACCTCTCAGGCACACCGACCGGGATGAGGTGAACAGAAACAGGGCCAGGAGGCTGACGGGCTCCTTGGGGTCAAACCCTATGAAAGAAAGTGACAGGTTTTGTTTAAACTGAGGGTGCCCACCCCTCTGGCTCTAAAACAGAGCAGGATGTTTAAGGACAGAGATTGGTTTCTCTGTAGGCATGCCTTACCATCATCTCGTGCCAAGGCAAAGGACGTGAGGAGGATAAGGACTCCTTGATCTTGCAAATACTTGATGATTGCCTATAAGAAACACACACAAAGTTAGAGCGACCATTTCCTTTCCTCCTTAGCATGCTTGCTATCACTCAGCACGACTGTCAACAAGTCCTGACTGCCAGTGAACGTGCGCCAACGCCACCAGCTCATTCCCTGTTGAGGAGGACACTGTTTCACGTGACTTGGGTCACCTGAGACCTGTAACCGAAAGCATTCCATTTACGTTGTTATTCAGCTCTCAAATTCCTCCCACCTGTTCCTTAAAAAAATAAACACATCCAAAGTAATTAATGAACAAGGTTAATTGTTTTAGTCCCTTCAGTTCAAAAGCTCCTGGCCATCTCAGCCAGGAACTGCTTTCTGCAGCCCAAGGGGAAGGTTTTCCAAGCAGGGAAAGCAAAGGTGGACACCAACACCTGACAAAATACAACCAATGTTCCAGCCAGAAGCCTGACTGAAGTTCAGGCAATGCAGCTTGCTTATTAGCAGCATCAGTATCAATTAATATGTGAAAAAATAATTTGCTGAGTCTAGGAGCTGCCTGCAACTCTGTCTCAGAGCTGGAAGACCGCACATCTAAAAAGACACGTAATTATCAAAGCTCTTCTGGTGTTTGGGTGTTGCTTGATGCCTCATTGCAGAGCTTGGCTTGGACTGCTCTTCCCTCCATGGGGACACCCATTTGGATCTCTTTCTTCCGTGCAGACACATTTTTTCAGGAAATTTACAGGAACTGAATAACCCCAGGGCTTCTAACACTCTGTGAAACTTCACTGACCCCATTCAATACGTACAGACATAACAGAGGATTGGACTCGTGCCCACAGCCTCGTTTCTCCAGGACAGCAGAACAACTTTGGAAATACTGAACAATTTCAGTGCCATATTCGCTATTCAGAACAGTAGCTCCTTGCTTTGGTTGTCTCAAGCCAGCAGAGCAGAAGGGATAAGAGCCAGTATCTCTGCGGCATAAATCCACTCCATGAAATAGTTTTGGTTCTTCACCAACAGGATGATTTTCAGGCAAGTGAGGAGGAAAGTCAAGCCATGTCTTTCTTGCCACAAGAAGGACACCGAGGTGCTGGAGCAGGTCCAGAGAAGGGCAACGGAGCTGGGGAAGGGTCTGGAGCACAGGGCTGACGAGGAGCGGCTGAGGGAGCTGGGGGGGTTCAGTCTGGAGAAGAGGAGGCTGAGAGGAGACCTCGTCACTCTCTACAGCTGCCTGAAAGGAGGGTGCAGTGAGGGGGGTGCTGGGCTCTGCTCTAAAGGAACAAGTGATGGGACAAGAGGAAACGGCCTCAAGTTGCTCCAGGGGAGGTTTAGGCTGGAGATTAGAAAAAATTTCTTCACTGAAGAGTGATCAGGCATTGGAACAGGCTGCCCAGGGGAGTGGTGGAGTCACCATCCCTGTAGCGGTTCAAGAAATGTGTCGA